CAAAAATGACCCCGGAGTGGCCTCATTTTGACTCCAGGAGTGACCCCAAAAGTGACCCCAAAACTCCAAAAATTAACCCAAAAATGACCCCGGGAGTGGCCTCATTTTGACTCCAGGAGTGACCCCAAAGTGACCCCAAAATCTTAAAAGTGACCCCAAAAATGACCCCAAAAATGACCCCAAAAATGACCCCAAATGGGACTTCAAGAGTGACCCCAAAAGTGACCCCAGGACCCCCAAAGTGACCCCAAAACTCCAAAAATTAACCCAAAAATGACCCTGGGATTGGCCTCATTTTGACTCCAGGAGTGACCCCAAAAATGACCCCAAGATCTTAAAAGTGACCCCAAAAATGACCCCAAAATTGAAGCCAGGAATGGCCCCAAATGGGACTCCAGGAGTGACCCCAAGACCCCAAAAATGACCCCAAAAATGACCCCAAAAATGACCCAAAAGTGACCCCAAAACTCCAAAAATTAAACCAAAAATGACCCCGGGATTGGCCTCAAATGTGACCCCAAAAGTGACCCCAGGACCCCAAAAATGACCCCAAAGTGACCCCAGAACTCCAAAAATTAAACCAAAAATGACCCCGGGAGTGGCCTCATTTTGACTCCAGGAGTGACCCCAAAAATGACCCCAGGATTTTAAAAGCGACCCCAAAAATGACCCCAAAAATGACCCCAAATGGGACTTCAAGAGTAACCCCAAAGTGACCCCAAAACTCCAAAAATTAAACCAAAAATGACCCTGGGAGTGGCCTCATTTTGACTCCAGGAGTGACCCCAAAGTGACCCCAAAACTCCAAAAATTAACCCAAAAATGACCCTGGGATTGGCCAAAATGTGACCCCAAAGTGACCCTGAAAATGACCCCAAAAATGACCCCAAATGGGACTTCAAGAGTGACCCCAAAAGTGACCCGAGGACCCCAAAAATGACCCCAAATTGACCCCAAAAATGACCCCAAAAGTGACCCCAAAACTCCAAAAATTAACCCAAAAATCACCCCGGGATTTGCCTCAATTGCGACCCCAAAGTGACCCCAAAAGTGACCCCAAAATCTTAAAAGTGACCCCAAAAATGACCTCAAGACTCCAAAAATTAAACCAAAAATGACCCCGGGAGTGGCCTCAAATGTGACCCCAAAAATGACCCCAAAGTGACCCCAAAACTCCAAAAATTAACCCAAAAATGACCCCGGGAGTGGCCTCAAATGTGACCCCAAAAATGACCCCAGGACCCCAAAAATGACCCCAAAAAATGACCCCAAAACTCCAAAAATTAACCCAAAAATGACCCCGGGAGTGGCCTCATTTTGACTCCAGGAGTGACCCCAAAAGTGACCCCAGGATTTTAAAAGTGACCCCAAAAATGACCCCAAATGGGACTTCAAGAGTGACCCCAAAGTGACCCCAAAGTGACCCCAAAGTGACCCCAGGACCCCAAAAGTGACCCCAAAAATGACACCAGGAGTGACCCAAGAAGTGACCACAAGTATGACCCCAAAAATGACCCCAAAGTGACCCCAAAACTCCAAAAATTAAACCAAAAATGACCCTGGGATTGGCCTCAAATGTGACCCCAAAGTGACCCCAAAACTCCAAAAATTAAACCAAAAATGACCCCGGAGTGGCCTCATTTTGACTCCAGGAGTGACCCCAAAAGTGACCCCAAAACTCCAAAAATTAACCCAAAAATGACCCCGGGATTGGCCTCAAATGTGACCCCAAAGTGACCCCAAAACTCCAAAAATTAACCCAAAAATCACCCCGGGATTGGCCTCAAATGGGACCCCAAAGTGACCCCAAAGTGACCCCAAAAATGACCCCAAAGTGACCCCAAAACTCCAAAAATTAACCCAAAAATGACCCTGGGATTGGCCTCAAATGGGACCCCAAAAGTGACCCCAAAAATGACCCCAAAGTGACCCCAAAACTCCAAAAATTAACCCAAAAATCACCCCGGGATTGACCTCATTTTGACTCCAGGAGTGACCCCAAAACTCCAAAAATTAACCCAAAAATGACCCCGGAGTGGCCTCATTTTGACTCCAGGAGTGACCCCAAAAGTGACCCCAAGATCTTAAAAGTGACCCCAAAAAGTGACCCCAAAGTGACCCCAAAATTCCAAAAATTAACCCAAAAATGACCCCGGGGTTGGCCTCAAATGTGACCCCAAAACTCCAAAAATGACCCCAAAAGTGACCCCAAAATGAGCCAGGATCCCTGAGACCCCAAAATTCCCATTTTTCCCCAAAAATTTGCATTTTTTCCCCAAAAAATTCCCATTTTCCCCCCCAAATTCCCATTTTCCCCCCAAAATTTCCATTTTTTTTACCAAGATTTACATTTTTCCCAAAATTCCCATTTCCCCCCCAAAAAATTCCCATTTTCCCCCAAAAAATTCCCATTTTTTCCCCCTAAAAATTCCCATTTCTTCCCAAAAAAATCCCATGTTCCCCAAAAATTCCCATGTTCCCCAAAAATTTCCATTTTTCTCCCAAAAAATTCCCATTTCTTCCCAAAAATCCCATTTTTCCCCAAAATTCCCATTTTTTCCCCACTAAAAATTCCCACTTTCCCCCCGAAATTTTCATTTATCCCAAAAAAATCCAATTTCTCCCCCCAAAATTCCCTTTTCCCCAAAAATTCCCATTCCCCTCCCAAAATTCTTGTTTTTCCCCAAAGAATTCCCATTTTCCAAAAAAAATTTCCCATTTCCAAAAAAAAAAAATTCCCATTTTCCTCCTAAAAAATTCCAATTCCTTCCCAAAATTCCCATTTTCCCCCAAAAAAACCCCCAATTTTCCCCCAAAGAATTCTGATTTTCCCCCCAAAATTCCCATTTTTCCCTAAAAATCCAAACTCAAATCCACAAAATTTTTTGGGAATTTTTATTCCTATCCACCCAAATTTTCCGGGAACGGGGAGGGGATTAAATAAGACAAAAAAGGAGAGAAAAATCCCAAATTTTTTGGGATTTTTTTGGGGAATTTTTGGGGGAAAATTTGGGAATTTTCTCCCAAAAACAGCGAAAAAAATCGGGAATAAAAACGGTGCCATTTATACAAATATAGTGTTAAAAAATGGGAATTTGGGGAAATTTTGGGGAATTTTGGGAATGAGGGGGGAGGGGTTGAAAACCCTGAGCCGCTCCAGGAAATAATTTAGGGAATTTTGGGGAGTTTTTAGGGAATTTGGGGGAATTTTTAAAGGAATTTTAGGTAATTTTTAAAGGAATTTTTTTAGGATTTTTTTGGGGAATTTTAAGGAATTTTTTTAGGGAATTTTTAGGGATTTTTAAGGTATTTTTAAGGGATTTTTATGGATTTTTTAAGGAATTTTTTGGGAGTTTTTAAGAACTTTTTAACGATTTTTTGGGAATTTTAAAGGAATTTTTTGAGGAATTTTTGGGGAAGTTTTTAGGGAAGTTTTTAGGGATTTTTTTAGGATTTTTTTTTTTTTAATTTTAAAGGAATTTTTAGGGATTTTTTTGGGAATATTTTTGGGATTTTTAAGGAACTTTGGAGGAATTTTAAAAAGAATTTTCAGGGATTTTCTGGGAATTTTAAGGGAATTTCTGAGGGATTTTTTAGGGAATTTTTTGGGAATTTTTTTGGGATTTTAAAATGATTTTGTTGAGAATTTTTTGGAAATTTTTAGGGAATTTTACAGGAATTTTTACGGAATTTTTAATGATTTTTTTTTTAATATTTAGGGGATTCTTTGGAATTTTTTAATTATTTTTTTTTATTTTTAAAGGAATTTTCTGGGAATTTTTCAGGGGTTTTTCAATGAATTTTTAGGAATTTTTTAGGATTTTAAAGGACATTTTTGGGGATACTTTGAGAATTTTTTGGGAATTTGTAGGGAATTTTTTTTTTTATTTTAAAGGAATTTTTTGGGAATTTTTCAGGGGTTTTAAAATGAATTTTTAGGGACTTTTTTAGGATTGTTAAGGAATTTTTCAGGAATTTTTGGGAATTTTGGGGGGATTTGAAAGGAATTTTTCGGGATTTTTTTGAGGATTTTAATGGAATTTTTCAGAGTTTTTAAAATTAATTTTTCGGAATTTTGGGGGGATTTTTTGGGGATTTTTAGTGATTTTGGGGGCATTTTAAATGAATTTTTAGGGAAATTTTTTTGGGAATTTTTAGGGAACTTTTTGGGGAATTTTTTAATTTTTAGGGAATTTTCGGGGAATTTTTAGGGAAACAAGGAATTTTTTGGGGGGATTTTTAGTGATTTTGGGGGATTTAAAAGGAATTTTTTAGGGAATTTTTGGGGAATTTTTTTGGGGAATTTTTAATAAAATTTTCAGGAATTTCCTGGGGGTGAAAGTGCCTGGAAGCGCCTCAATTATTATTCATTACTCCTCATGAATTATTCATGAGTCCGAGATCGCGGCTCCTCCCCCTTTTCCCAAAAAATCCCGGAATTCCCGGGGGAGGGGCCTGAGAGCCTCCGGAATTCCGTGGAAAGTTCTGGAATTTCTGGAAGCACCTGGAAAAGTTCTGGAATTCCGTGGAAAGTTCTGGAATTTTTTGAATTCCATAAAAAGTTCTGGAATTCCATGGAAAGTTCCGGAATTTCTGGAAGCCCCTAAAAAATTCTGGAATTCCGTGGAAAGTTCTGGAAGTTCTGGAATTCCATGAAAAGTTCTGGAATTTTTGGAATTCCATGGAAAGTTCCGGAATTTCTGGAAGTCCATAGAAAGTTCTGGAATTCCATGGAAATTCTGCAATTCCATGAAAAGTTTGGGAATGTCTGGAAGCACCTGGAAAGTTCTGGAATTCCGTGGAAAGTTCGGGAATTCCATGGAAAGGTCAGGAATTTCTGGAATTCCACGGAAATTCTGGAAGCAGCTGAAAGGTCTGGAAAAGTTCTGGAATTCCATGAAAAGTTCTGGAATTTCTGGAATTCCGTGGAAAGTTCTGGAATATTTTTTTTTTTTTAATTCCGTAGAAATTTCTGGAATTCCGTGGAAAGTCCGGGAATTTCTGGAAGCACCTGGAAGGATCTGGAATTCCATAGAAAGTTCTGGAATTTCTGGAATTCCATAGAAAGTTCTGGAATTTCTGGAATTCCGTGGAAAGTTCTGGAGGTTCTCGGTCCACTTGGAAGTACCTGGAGACCTCTGGAAGTTCTGGAATTCCATGGAAAGTTCAGGGATTTTTGGAAGTACCTGGAAAGTTCTGGAATTCCATGGGAATTTCTGGAATCCCGTTGAAGGTTTTGGAAGCACCTGGAAAATTCCGGAAGCTTCTGGAATTCCGTGGAAAGTTCTGGAAGGTTCTTGGTCCACTTGGAAGCACCTGGAGAGTTCTGGAATTCCACAGAAAGTTCTGGAATCTTTCTTAATTCCATGGGAAGTTCTGGAATTTCTGGAATTCCATGGGAAGTTCTGGAATTCCATGGAAAGTTCAGGATTCTTCTGGAACGTTCTGGAATTCTGGGGAAGCTCCGATCCCGATGGATCCGTCCCAATTCCAGGGGGAAAATCCCAAATTCCCAGACCCAAAACCCATCCCAAAGAATCCCAAATTCCCGAAAAATCCCGGAAATTCCCGGAATTGCGTCTCAGGGCTCGTGGTGGGGCGCGGCGCCAGAGAAGATGCGGGCGAAGCGCCGGAGCCGCCGATTGTGACGGGAATTCCGCAATTCCAGGGGGAAAATCCCAAATTCCC